ATATATATATATGGATCTCGGTAGCCGAGTAGATACAAATTTGATAAGCGACAGCTAAAAAGATGCCGGATAGTCCAAGGAAAGTGCTCACTACTTGTTAGAGAGCTATCGTCGGAAAATGTTTTTGAACTTGGTAAGAAATACTTTCCTGAAAGTCACCCCTCAACAATAGACTGAAATGTCACAAGCATAGGCCTACCAACATTTTTCATATTTTACCTCCAAAAACAACAAACCTTCATAAATCGAAGACTGGTTGCTTGATAAGTAAAAATGTAAACTTGTGCACAGAATTGTTGATACGTTTCAGTTATTATCGTGATTACTTGACGAAAATAAAAACCTGTCAAAGTACAGCCATTTAAAATATGGAATTCACTTCATTTTTCAATTCAAAGCGCACCCTTAATTAAATTACTGTATTTAAAAATAAATATAAAGAATATTATAATGAAACGTTAAATTAAGTGATGTATAATTATATTTGTTTAGTCTTTTAATTCATTATTTGAATCATTGTTTGGTAAGTTCTCGTTTGATTGTTTCTTATTCTGTATTTTATATTTTTGGACCACAATGGAAATAAGTACCTTTTCGGTACTCTATTGTGTTTTTATCCATGAATTTTATGAAATAAAAACAAAATAAACGAAATTGTTAAAGAGAATTTTAAGTATTTAATTTATGGAAGGTCCTGTAATGTAGGCCCTAAAGTTGACAGTTTTTAAATTTTAGTCGCAAACTAAATTTGAGTCCTTGGCTCACTTAATTTCTTTATTATGTTTGTGAATTGCTGACGTCTTGTCTTTGTAACGTTTTTGTATTAATTTTGTAATTGTATTGCCTGAATGAATGAATGAAATAATAAACTGGAACAGATGACGTTAATTAATAGATAAGAAAGTAGTAACACAAGTTTACTCCAAGTTGAAATGCACGCCTCCGTGTTTAAAGTCAGGCTCCGGAGGAAAAAACATTTTTGATATGTTGTAGAACTGATTTTTCTAAGACAGAAAAAAGTTGTTTGACGAAAAACTGGGGAACGGTGAATGAGATACAGATTTTTTAATATTTAAAAACTGGGGGGAAAAGGGGCGTAAATGCCCATTTTTACACCTTATTCCTCCAGTTTTTAAATATTAAAAAATCTGTATCTCGTTCACCGTTCCCCAGTTTTTCGTCAAACAACTTTTTTCTGTCTTAGAAAAATCATTCTACAACATATCAAAAATTTTTTTTCCTCTGGAGCCTGACTTTAATTAATAGCGCCTCCAAAGTACATCCTGTAGTATGACGTTTGTATCTTAGCAACAGTCACACAGCAAAAACATAATAGTTGCTGCATCTCCGCTTGCTTGCCATTCTTTTTTAGTCCATAATAATAGCAAGAGAAACTTTACATATATTCGTATTTACTAATCAAGGTAAGCTTAATTATTACCATGTAAATTCCAGTGTATCTTATTATATTCATAAACTATCATAAAAATAGACGTTAAGCATCAACAGGGAAGGTTATTTAGGTTATGGCCCTAGGCCATGCTAGCACAGGCGTAGGGAGGCCTAAACTACATAGCCTAGGCCTAGTAACTAGTAGTATATAAATTAACCTAGGCCTGGCCTAGACTTGAGTGAGTGAGACCTCCTTACATCAATCAAGCCAGGATGCTAGCTAGGCATGTTAGTGTTATGCTAGGTAGGTCTAGTTTGCCTAACCTGCAGGCCAAGCAAGGAAACTGGCCAACAATCTTTTTTTTAATAAAAAAAAAATACTACCTAGGCCTAGGCCTAGCCTCCTACTAAGCCTTGGCTTGCCCCTCCTACCTAGCCTAGGCTAGCTAGGCCTAGCCTAGCTTAGGTAGACCAGGAGGCTTATGAGAAGAATATGGTCCGTGAGCTAGATTCTATTTCAGTTTGGATCCATGTTTTTCCAATTTGCTTTTTTCATTGACTTATTGAGAGATTCCAAAAAACAACTGAGCAGCTTCCCCAAGCTTCTTGTGAATAAGTAAGCCTACAGACAGTCGCAAGAGTCTTTCAAATATTTCCTCGGTTCCTGAAATCCACGGAGCAAAAAAAAATTATCCTGCAAGCTAACTCATTTCCTTCAAATTTGGAATGTTTGCCTGTTGTAAAACATAAGTCTCTCTCCCTCTCTCTCTAAGCATAGTGGCTTTTCCCAACTTTGGGCCTTCTGCTTTGCTTAAGGATTTAAACTGCAATCCACAAGTCATAAACTCACATGAAAATATTTTTCTATATGCTTTCAAAAGTGACATTTTCAAGATTCAAGATTCAAGAAATTTTATTTGTACATATAAAAATACTGAAAAATACAGATATAACAAAAAATATATACATACTGTACATTGCCAAAGTTAAAAAAAAAAGAATACAAAATACAAGAAGGTACATAAAGGTAAAATTGACAATGAATGATAAAAAGGAAAAAATGTCAAAAATGAATGGACAAAAAAGCACTTGGAAACTTTTTGCATATTTAAAGTCATTAAACTATTAAACTAATTTTTTTTTAAAAGTCAAGAAATGGCAATGCTTCATGATGTAATAGTTAACATTATTGTGGTCTGTCTGCTGTAATAGGCATGGTACACATAGCCCTAGGCACTTAGACCAATTAAATTGCACTTTGGCTAAAGTGAGAGGCTAATCCTATGAAGCATAGTGCCTCCCTGACTAATGAGCCAAAAAAGTAGCATTGGTTCTGACTGGGTAAATTTAACAAGATAAAAAAATAAATTTTATCACTTGTACAGATGCCTCGTGGAGCACCAAGGTCTGCAAGTCGTCGCTCAGACGCAAGTGATATTGATGCTGATCAACAACTTGGTAAGACTAAAACTAAATTTTTCTATTTATTACCTTAGCGATGTTTTCAGCAACTGCTCCACCTATTCATTCAAGGGTTCATTAGCCTGAAGAAAGTGATCGAAACAGTTGCTGAAACCGTTGCTAAGTTATGCAACTACTGTAATTGGTTCAACAAAACAGATAAGTTTCCTAGAACTGTTGGGAGACAAGAGTATTCTGACCAATCACTGACTCCTTCGCTGAGCATGTAGACTGCAGAACAAGCCATGAAAGCTGTTTAAGTTACAGCTGTTGTCATGCCCTATGTAGAAAGCTGCTTCGTTACAACTGCTGTCATGCGAATCTAAATAGGTTGCATTGCACAGCAGAATGGCTTTATCATTGTCGTGTGCCGCTGTCCCTCTGTGTGTTAATAGGACTTAATGATAATTAATGAAAAACACATTGTCTTTTAAAAAATTTTAATTAAAAGCTATAAAACGTACTTAATTCTTTTTATAAATAGTGTTTCTTATTAATTGTTAAATGTATATATATATATATATTGTTTACAGCTGAAAATGAATTGGGGAAGTTACAGAGGCAGTATAGGATTATGGAAGGTGATAGGAATGCCTACAACATCGAGTCACAAGATCTGATCCGCAAACAATTGTAAGTTCTTGAAAACTAACAACCTCACACAGGGTAGCACAGACATGAAGGGTCCCTTAGGGGCGAAGAAGGTCCACATATCAAGCGCCATCAGAATCTTGTTTGATGGATCCCGGTGCTATACAAATTTACATTATTATTATTATTATTATTATTATTATTATTATTATTATTATTATTATTATTATTATTATCTCAGTTGAATCCACTTGATATGAAATACATATGACTCTATTGAATTTGTTTAAATATAAAGACGGTGTTCTTAGTTTTATAATTACACTTAATTATTCTGATGTTTCCTGAGAATGAATTTATGTTTTTATTTAATTAATAAATAAATATTTCAGAGCAGAGATAAAGACTTTAGAGGCAGAGAAAGGTGAATTGATGAAGGATCTGCGTCTTTCGGAGAGCAACACAAACATCTCACGTGATGACAGTAACATCGATAGGCTGCAGACGCTACTGGAGGAAAGAGGTAAGTTATCAAGAGATCGTAACTGCAAGGAAAAAGCGCTATATAAGTAGCAAGTTACAAGACACATAATCAATTGCCATGGTGATTGAAGGATATATGCAACTTAACTTTTGACTCAGAAAGAAACTACTTTGTTATAGCGCATGGGGATCATTACATAAGCTCTTTCTACCCTGCCTATTGGATATACTGTAGAATCATTTGTATGTACTGTAGGTCAACCTGTACCCAATGTACAACCTGGGGGTGCATGCCTGTGCATACTGTAATCAAGACAGTATTTATGTATCAATGTTTAACTTGTGGTTGTATATCTGTGCATGTGTTGTACTCAACACAGTATATACACAATGAACAAAACCTGTGGTTGTTGAGCTGTGCATGTACTTTACTCAGCATGGTATATTATGTACTGTATACTCAATGTACAACATGCTATATTTACTTAAGCGTGTACTGTATTTCAACATAGGCCTTAAATGGTAACATCATATTCTATAATTACCTCAGCCAAGGAAGCTATGTAGTCAGCCCTGTTTGTCTGTTTTTCAAGTGTTTCTGTCTGTTAGCATGATTGCGCAAAACTAAGGGATCATCATAATTTAGTGGAATGCAACATAATAATATTAGAGATGATTAAGTTTTGGGAAGAAAAGGTCAAAAGTCTAGGTCACAGAATTTTTTTCATTGAACTTACTCTCGAGCATAAAAGAAAACAATGGAATCGTCTGCGTTTTGTTCGGTATCCAGGCGCAGGTTGGAGGTGGAGTGACTGCTCTGGTGTTTCATGTTTTTTGTTGGTTTTCCAAATTATGCTGTCAGGCTTTTCTCTCTTCTGTATCTTTCCCTAAATTTCCAATACTTAAATCCGGCATTTTTAATTCATTTCAAAGATGAGTATCGTAACATGATCAGTGATGAGAAGAATCGACAGAAAGAACTGGACGGAATGATGAGAGAAAAAGAGCGCGAGATTCACAGCCAGCACAAGAGAATGGGCGGCGTTCACGCCAGCCAGCAGCACACTACGAAAACTCAGAAGGCAATCCGCATCAAAGAGAACCGTTTACACCAAGTAAGGGTAGCATGTTGTTCTCACACTCGGGCCTGCTAAAGCATTTTTTTCCTTTGGTACCTCAATCATGAAAATGATCTGTAAAGTAGGGATTGTCAAACTTATCCAACAACCCACTTCCCAGGATTGTTTTAGTTTCAGTTTTTTTGGCTCTGACTTTAACAATTACTATCAGATCAATCAATCAATCAATTGATCAATCAATCAATCAAATGCATTTATATAGCACAGGCATTCATTAATAAAGTTTGCTTCTGAGAACAGGTGGGCTTTCAGACGTTTTTTGAAAATGTTGACACTTTGTGAAGAAATAACATCTGATTATACAAATTCAAATCTCAAATGTGGAATGTAAAGAAGTAAAGGGCGTTCAGAATTTAAGCATACTGTATTGCCGCAATAAGCAAGTTAGAAATTTACTAAAATATAACAGTGGTACAGTATAAAAATAGAGTTAAACTACATGAAATCAGATACTCATAATGGGCCAGAAACTGGTAAAAAAAGTACAAATTTTAAATGATACTTAAAATCCACTGCCTTTACTACAGCAATTTTAGCAGGATATAGAATCTTAGAGAGGCTTGCGAACCTCTAATTTATTTGATGACCCAATGGGTTGCAACTCTGTTTGAGAACCTGCTTTGTAGAATGCATCCAGCACCAAATGTTTGCTTCAGACTTATTTTGAGTGATTCTGTGTTTATATTAATTTTTGAATTCTTTGCAGGCAAATGAGAAATTTAACGCCATGCTTACAGAAAATGCTGAATTCCGAGACAAAATTGATAGCCTTCGAGTGGAGAGAACACGTTTTGAGAATATTCGCAAGAAACTTGAAAAGGTAAGGGCACTGTAGCTGTGGGATTTATTGTTTGATGAAATAACTGTTAGTTTGTATACCAAAAATTCAAAAAGAATTACAACAATTTATAAAATGGTATTTATTTGCTTGGCCTCGTGCACACTCTTTTTAATATAGTAGTTGCACTTATATTGGTCAAAGTTTAAATTCTGGTGGGCATGGTGGAGGTGATGATGATGTGATGATGTATAAATTAAAGCTGGTCTCACTCATTGGGATTTTGCTTATGATAACCTGCGCTGCTGCAATTCTTTGAACATGTTCAAAATTCTACAATTGTACGTATTTTGTTCGATCCAGGAAAGTAACGACCTTCGTCAGCAAATTGGGGAGGTCATCGACCAGTCTACTCAAGCATACGATGCAAGAGATGAAGCACAGGCTAAAATAATTCTACTCAAGGACAAAGCGGATAAGGATTGTGCACAACACAAGGCCGAGATGAAAGAACTGCAGCGTATCATTGACCACGACCGCCAACTGAAAGATTTCATGATGATCAAGAGTAAAGAGAGAGGAGAGGAGGACGAACGGTTGCTTGCACTGCGACAGAAACGAGGTAAATATGATAATTGACGTGTACTCAAACTAATAATAGGTTATAATAAATAGTAATTTGGCCAGGTGAATGCATAGGCTGCTTTTGATGCGTTCACAACAAGACATGTATTAATAAAGATGTCCAAAACAACATTTTCATGTCGTAAAATTACAAAGTTACAATCTGTCAACACATTTTGTGAAGTTGAACTATCATAAACTTAGTTTGTAAAACATTTTTCTTGAAATACAGGCTTTTTGTTCATAAAAATCTAGAATGTGCAAAAGCTGGGTTTGTCATTAAGGGTTTTTACTGTATGCCTACTAATATTACTACTTGCTTAATTATGCAGATGCTGTTATCAAGCAATGTATTATAAATATATAATGGTGAATATTTCAGAGGCTGAAGAGGATGAAAGGCGTCGCAGAGAGCGCCAGGAAGACTCTATCGAAGCTTATGAAGAAGCATTCCAGAAGATCTCCGAGATCACTGGCGAGGAAGACTTGAACAAGTTAGTGAACAAGTTTATTGAAGTCGAGGACGGCAACTTCGCTCTCTTCAACTACTTAAATGAGCAGAATAATGAAATTGAAAGACTGCAAGATCAAATTGTTGAGGTCAGTGTTATTTTAGAAATTTTAAAGCCTAAATATTTGTTGTTAGTGATACTTCTGTAGGTCATATTTAATTTAATTTAGTTTTAGGGAGTGCAATTTACTGATGCAAATGTTAAATATTTAGTAAGCAAAAGTCAGTGTTTGATTTCAGTAATACCCCTGGGATTACAATACAGTAGTATACAAATATTTATTGATTTGAGTGGCACGGTTCAAACTGTAGCCCCAAAAAATAACAGTCAAAATAAAATACATGAAAGATAATGAGATACATACGTAGATTGCTCTAGGCTCCCTAGGATAGAATATTGCCTGCAGCAGAGCAATTCAAATCAGAAACACGTCCCCTTCAGTAGTTTAGTGTTTTGCCCTGCTCTCACTATGTACTGATAATTCTTCAAGTCAAACAAATCAATGTACCTGATTATATATTCTACATAACAATTAGCTACACTTGTCCATATTATAGACTTACTATTGCTTTACTAACCTTTGGTTAAACAAATCACGGTATTCAATTATATATTCAGAATAATAATTAGCTACACTTAGTCCAGATTTTAGAGTTACTATAGTTGGTCAAACTTATTGTCAAACAAATCAATCTATCTCTTTAATATTCAGCATGATAATTGCCTATATACATATAGTCTACAAGAGTATTTGGTTCATTTCTGTTTTGTTTTTTGTTAACTGATGATGGGTTGAAGGTAACCCGAAACATGTCTGCCATTAAATCTTTTGTGTTATTTTTAAAATGCGTTGTATTTTTTGTCAACTTACGTCAATTTGGTTCTATTATCAAGGATTTCAGTTCAAGAAGATTACCAGTTTCTTTATTAAGGAAATATGAAAAGATTACTCTTCGTTTGAACAAAGCCGAATTGGATTTTAATTTTTTACATAATATCATAATTATTTTGTGTAAAATT